TCACTTGGTAGCCCAGGCTGGCCTCGAACTCACAGAGATCCACCTGGCTCTGCCTCCCGAGTGCTGGGATTAAAGGCGTGCGCCACCAACGCCCGGCTGGATTTTTTCTTTAATTTAAGAAAAGTTGTGTATGTGGGTGCACAGGCACTTGTGTACATGCATTTGGGGGTCAGAGGTCAACGTTGGGTGTCTTCCTCTATTTTTTTTTTTTAATTTTCTACTTATTTATTTTGAGACTGGGTTTTTCTGTGTAGCTTTGCGCCTTTCCTGGAACTCACTCTGTAGCCCAGGCTGGCCTCAAACTCACAGAGATCCGCCTGGCTCTGCCTCCTGAGTGCTGGGTGTGTGCCACCACCGCCCAGCTCTCTATTGTTTTCTTTTTTGAGACAGGGACTCTCACTGAATCTGGAGCTCACTGGCTCCCCTCCATTGCAGCTTCAGGGGTTCTCTTGTCTCTGCCCTCCTCCCTTGCACCCCAACCTCATGCTGGGAGTGCAGATGTGGTCCACCATGCCTGGCTTACATTAGGTGCTGGAGGCCCAGATTCAAGGGCTTGCATGGTAACCATCGTTCCCAGCCCTGCTTAACCGAATCTCTATCTAGAAGGAACTGTTTCTAATTTTCACCATTAAACATAATTTAAGTTACGATAGGTTTTTGATGACTGGCCTTTATCCAGTTAAGACATTTTATTTCTAGACCATGAATGGATAAAAGATAGCAAAATGAAGGCTGGAGAGGTGGCTCAGTGGTTAAGAGCACTGGCTGCTCTCAGGGGACTTGGGTTTGATTCCCAGCACCCACGTGGTTACTCAACAACCAGCTATAATTCCAGTCCCAGGGTACCAGGCACACAAATGGTGCACAGATATGCACAGGCAAAATACCCTTACACATAAAATTTAAAAATAAGAAAACCAAAACCTTAACATCATGCTGATGTTAACATCATACTGATGAAAGAAGCTGAAAACTTTCTCCCCCAAATCAGAAAGAAATATACTCACTTTCACTGTTTCTGTTCAGTGTTATATTGGAAGTCCTAGCCACTACACAAGAGATCTAAATAAAAACCATAGAGATTGGACAGCAAGAAGACTTCCTGGCAGATAGCAGGATTATCTGTGTAACAAATCTAATGGAAATTTATTTTTAAAGGAAATCTGCTAAGTATTAAGTGAATTTAACAAGTTAGTTACTGTGCAGATAGGAAGACTTTGTCTCAAAAAATATATATTTTGGGGTCAGTAAGATGGCTCAGTAGGTACAGGTGCTTGCCAGTGTCTGGAACCAATATGGCTGTCTTGGGGTGCGGGGTGTAAAGGAAACGGCTGACATGACCATGCCATGACATGGTTATGAGAGAACAGCCAGAGGCATCGGGAAGATTTCAGAGCAGAGAGGGGAGGCCAACTGGACGTGGCCAGGGCCAGGGAAGCAGGAGAGTGGGAGGAATAGTGGAGCTAGCAAGACAGACTAGAGCACAGGGAAGAAGGCACGCTGATGGAGAGTGTGGTAAGACTGGCCAGAGAGTAAGTGCGGGGAGAGTAGAGAACCCAGTTATAAGGGGGTGGAGCAGCTGGGGGGGGGCAGGAGGCTGGTGTTGGGAGCTTTGGAATGTATGACAAGTACTTGTAACTAGGGACTGAGGGGGGCTGGAGGCTGGCATGGGCTTTGATATGCAGCTATAGATGTGTGTCCGTGGAACCATATGCCCCTTCTGCCAGAGGGAAGGGAAATGACTCCTTTCAGTAGACAGGAACCGGCTTCACAAGTTCCTGAGGGATGCTGGTTTTTAATCTAACTGTCAGAAACCCTCCTGTAGTCCAGGCTGAGCTCATTTCTGGATATTTGAAACCTTACAGTGGTCCAGAAACCCTCCTGTAGTCCAGGCTGAGCTCATTTCTGGACATTTGGACAGCCTGAGACCTTACAGTGGTGAAAGGGAAAAACAGATTTCCACAAGTTGTGCTCTGGCCTCCACATCCATGGACACACACTAAATAAAATTAAATTTTTTAAAACTGGAAGTGGTGGTGCACACCTTTAATCCCAGCACTCGGAGGCAGAGGCAGGAGGATCCCTGTGATTTTGAGGCCAGCTTAGTCTACAAAGCAAGTTCCAGGACAGCCAGGGGTGTTACAGAGAAACCCATCTTGAAAAACCAAAAAACCAAAACCAAAACAAAACAAAAACAACAAAACCACCTTTTTAAAATGACAGTTTCTTCAAATTGATCTCGATATTCTGTATAATCATAGCCAAACTGCAAACAATTTTGCAAAAGTTAACAAAGTAATACTAAAACTTTATATGAAACAAAAGATCGAGAGTAGCTAGCTAACAAAATTTTAATAAAACTACATTCA